CTTTCATGCTTCACGCACAAGATTTTGTTAAAACATGTAAAAACATGCGGCCAGTTTTAACTTTCAGCCTTGACGCTCTGAGGATCGACATTTTCGAAAAGACCTTGGAAAAAAGCACCAACGGCTTCGTGATTGCAGAGGCCGTGGTTTTTGACGGATTCACGCTGAAATGTGGAGCTCTAAGTCTAATTTTTGGTCGGTGGCAATATCCTGCACAGCGTCTGCTTGCTGTGCAGGTGCAGCTGCTGGTGGCCTTCTTTTTGAAGTATTCACGCAGAATATCGTAAAGTTTCCAAGAACAGCCCCTCTGTGTCCAACAAGTTGACAAGTGCCCAATAGTGCCAAGAACCAGTAAACGATGTCGCCAATAAACGATGTCCCCTGTAGATCACACATTTGCAATCAAGGGGACAGGTTTTTGTTTGAGCACGTCCAGCTGAGTGATGCAGATTTGTCCTTTTTAGGGAGTACTATTCCTTGCTCGAAGTCATTAACAACAGCTTTGCTTCCGTGCCTATTCGATGCACATGAAAAACTTGCCGTGCCAATTTCCACACAAGAATGTAGTGCAAACCAATCGCTGCAAAAGACGGCTGGGTTTACGTGACTTGCTGGGCCACTTCGTCTTCCTTGGCTAGGATCACCCCACCACAGTTATGAAAGGAGGGTTGTGTTTTTTTGGCATTGATTCTTGTTTTTTTTTGGTCCTGGCTCCTGGTGGCTTCGTGGCTTCTGTGGCTTCTACGGTCCTGGCTCCTGGTGGCTCCTGGTGGCTCCTGGTGGCTCCTGGTGGCTCCTGGTGGCTCCTGGTGGCTTCTGTGGCTTCCGTGGCTCCTGGTGGCTTCTGGTGGCTTCTGTGGCTTCTATGGCTTCTATGGCTCCTGGCTCCTATGGCTCATCTATCATCTATCGATCAATCTATCAGTGAAGCAAGTTCACCAGGTGCATGTTGTGCATTAGACACACATCCATCTATCTTTATCTCTATCTCTATCTCTATGTCTATCTCTATCTATCTATTTTTAAAATCTATCTATCTGTCTATCTATCTATCTATCTATCTATCTAAATCTAAATCTAAATCTATCTCTACCTATCTATACCTATCTATATCTATCTATGTCTATCTATGTCTATATGGATGTCTATATCTATGTCTATATCTATGTCTATATCTATGTCAATATCTATCTATATATCTATTTAAATTTCTCTATGTCTATTTTAATCTATATCTGTATCTTTGTCTATATCTATTTCTATATCTATATATCTGTATCTACATCTAGATCTACATCAACATCTACATCTATATCTAAACCTAAATCTATATATTTATATCTACGTCTTCATCTAGATCTACATGAACATCAACATCTACATCTATATCTATCTCTATTTCTATATATCTATATCTACGTCTTCATCTACATCTACATCTATATCTCTATTTCTATATATCTATATCTACGTCTTCATCTAGATCTACATCAACATCTACATCTGTATCTATATACCTATACCTACACCTACATCTAGATCTACATCAACATCTGTATCTTTATCTCTTTACCTATTTATCTATCTATCTATCTATCTACCTACCTACCTATCTATCTATCTATCTATCTATCTCAAAGGTTTGCATTATCATCGAGATGATGTTCAAAGCCCAAGTCAACCCTGAACCAAGCCAGAATATACAGTACACCAACCCTTGATAGCGAGAGATAATACCACAGCTGAGTTTTTATTTCTACACAAGATGGCATATACTCTTTTAGATAGAGATAATGCCTCTACTGTGTCTGAGTTTCAAATAATGTAGATATATACTCTTGTAGATAGAGATAATGTCGCATTTTGATACATTTTGTCTTCACACATTTTCCGCCGAGCAGACTAGATCAGACTAGTTCGGAAGTCAACGAATCAATTTTACCAACTCCGAATTTTGTCTATTGTCCGCTTGAACGAGCGACTTTGGAGATCCGCTGTATCCGTTTACTTTGTGATTCGGTCAATTGTTTTCCATCTGACCTCAATTTCTGAATCTTGCAATTCGAACGTTAGAAGGACGAATTTTTCACACCGGTAGCGCATTTTACCAAGATCGACCAAGCGTCGCGCACCATCGTCGAGAAAAATAGTTAGCGAATCCGCTGCTTTCACTTCGACATGTCCTTAGGACAGGTTTGTCGCATTCGATCCGCTAACATTCGATTCGTTGTTAAACCATTGCGTGACTTCCGCTCATTTTTGCTGATTAGCCAACGTGTAGTATAGTTACAGGCTCTAACTCTTACTCTCAATTGGGTACGACAAAGCGTAGTGCTCTACTCATCGCCTTTGAATTTGTGCCTGCGTTTTTGTTTTGGCTTGGATCCTATGTGGATATAGCATGAGTATTGAGTACATTTTCATACGCTGTCAAGGCTCAAGAGAGGTATAGAGTAATCCTGTAGACACCGCAACGACTGGCTATTGGCCGAGTATAAAAGGTGTGTTAGCTGTCTGGCTGTCTGGGGAAGACGCTCTAGCTCATCTAATCTAGACGCTAGTGCCCCTCTTCAGCCCTTCCCCCAATCCCCCTCTCCCGTTTTTTTTATTGGTTAAATTATCAATGCAAACTTGCACACTTTTCAATACACTAGTTTGATTCGACTATATATGTATATATATATATACATATGTATATAATATATAATATATATGTATATTATATATATATATATATACGTATACATATATTACATGTACATATATACATATAAATACTTATTCATTTACATATATATATTTATTTATATATACGTATATATATATACACATATACATACATACATACATACATACATACATACATACATACATACATACATACATACATACATACATACATACATACATACATACATACATACATATATGTTTATACTTATAGACAAATACACATACGTATATACTTATAGATATGTACACACATATATGTATGACATATTTGTGGTTGTTTTTATACACAATTTTCACTCCACAATAAATTATAAATAATCATGCGCATGGATATGCATCCACATAAATGTAGTTATTTGTATGTACATGTTGTATCCCTAAGTAACGCCTAATCCAACCGCAAACAAACCCTGATCAGACCCTAAACCAGCCCTAAAGAGACCTTAAACCAACCCTAAATAGACCCTAAACAAATCTAGAAGAAACCAACCCTATATAAACCCTAAACCAAACCCTGCATATATATATATATATTTTGTAAAATACACGTGTAAATACGCTGATCTACATATACATATAGTCATGATTAGTCATGCATATACATCTTTATATCTACAATCTATAGTTTGCACATCGTGTATTTTCAAAAATAAATGAAAATTTCGGAAAACATGAAAACCATGTAAAAATCAATGAAAACTCTGGAACAAAATGAAAACAATGCACAAATTGATAAAAAATATAGAAATAATGAAAAAAACAATTGAAAAATGGAAGAAAACCATGGAACAATCGAAAAAAAAACATAGAACAAGTGAAGAAAACCATGGAAAAATTGAAGAAAACAATGGAAAAATTGAAGAAAAACATAGAACAATTGAAGAAAATCATGGACAAAACAGTGAAAACGATGGAAAACTCGATAAAAACCATTGAAACAAATCTTGAAACCAGTGGAAAAATTGATGAACAGTGCGAATGATTTTAGCTACAAAATGCAGCAAATGAAATATTTTAGTTGCAAAAACCAAGGAAGGGAACCTGGACGACCAAAAAAAAAAACACATGCCAAAAAAACAAATAAACATTGCCAACTTAGTTTCGCCATCGTTATGATTGTTTTTCACCCAGCAGCTACCGTCATGTCAATGATCCCATCCATACATCAGAGGACAAAATTTGGTTATTTTCATTGCTGTGTTGATGAGCTGTTGGCACCTTCGCCTCCACATGGCATACATCACCTGGCTAGCCTGGCAGGCGGGATTTTCGGTGGCTGATTTGATGTTTTTCGGTTTCTTGGCTGCAGTCGGAGTCCCGGAGGTCGGCTACTTGGTGCAAACCAACACAAAAACTTTGAATTATAGTGTTATAGTATTGGATAGGTTCATTTTTGGGACCCATGTGGGGTCATTTAGCATACGGGGCGATGTGTTCTTCCTCGACCAAAACAGGGACTTCCCATGGGGAAGCGAACGGTGTCCACCTACCCGCCTGCAATCAGGTGGTGCCCCATAGTTCACTTGAATTCTAATTCCAATAACAATCCAATAACAAAGTTTTCTGGTAGATATATACAGTAACACACACACACACATATATATATAGATATCATGATATGCTCATATCTTTATTGTATTCTATGATTCACGGGAGATAAATCAACTGGGACCACCTGCACAGATGAGTCAACATCGATTGCAGTCTGTGGTCGATGTTGAGTTGATTTCTTTGGATTCCAGGGCCACCTATTGGCTGAAAGACGATTCAAACAGGTATGGACCTTTCCACATTGGAAGTTTGACCCTTTGCAATGAAACATGGCAATTGAAAACCTACATTTCAATGGGAACATCATGTATTTGGTCATGTTCCATTGCATGATGATTTGCCAACAAATCAATGATTTTACCCGAAATTTAATTGTTGTAATTAGCCAATATACTGTAAAATATTATATACTCATTAATATACATAAATAATCATAGATATATACTATGATTGCCTGATCAGACTCCCAACGGCCCGGTCTTTGGGTTGCATTGTTGGGTTCATTTTTTGAGGTGACACAGAGGTTTGAAGGGACTGGTTGGAAAACCACCATGGCGATTAAGAGAATCAAATTCCATGTGATGGTCAGATTTTTTTCCATCCGTTCAAACTATGCATTGGCAGAAATTGATATACATACTGTATATGTTTATGTTGTCCATCCAACTCCGACTCTAGCACATACCAACTGAGACAGGCTTGGTGGAACCCCGGCCCATTCTGTCCTCACCAGGAACCGTTTGTTTCGCTTCCACCAATTGCTGGTTTCCATGATATCTATGTTCAACCATCTTTGGAATGATGGATGATACCCAATCACTAATATGTTTATCAGATGGGTTGACAAAAACCAATCAGATCCGTTCTTACCTTGAATAAACGAGACGACTGGAAGACTGGAACCTATTCAGAGGTCGCAAAATTGGCGGATTGTCATGGATTGTCCTCATTGGGGGCCCCTTTGGTAATTTAACATAACTATTGAACATGAGCCATTTCTATAGTTGATTTGCCTATCAAAGATGGGCATTCTCCATAGCAAACCGTTCAATAACCAGAGGGTACCCCAGTCAAACCCATGGTATCAGAAAAAAATCAACCCACCTAGTGGACTTGATGCACCTCGCGGCCCAGCTTTCCTGTCCATGGTACGCTCCGGCTTCGTGGCGTCTTGACACAGATGATCCTCCATCTTGGGGCCATGGCAATGGTAATATTTTGGGGAAACTCGGTGAAATGATGATTCACAGAAAAGTGGATTTAGGGCTTATACAACTTATAGCATCTTATAGCCTATTTTCAGACAAACTAAAATGGGCCTATGAGAACAATATCACCGGGATGTATGCGAGCAAAACTTCGGTGCAGAACCAACAACACAATTCTTGGGCAATACATGGGATTACCATGTCTTCACCAGTCACCCTGACAACAATGGTTTCTTTTTGGAGGACTACCTTGGAATCACTGAACATGTTATTCTATCAAAAATCAGCCAGAAACTGTCACTGACGTACTCTTCACAGGTGAAATGTTCTCCTTGGTTAGACAAATCATGGTTGGGGTCAATGACACCACCCTTGTTGTGAGGCAGTTTCTGTCTGAGTCTATATATTACTATATATTATATAGATTTATATAGTCTATACCCTTCAATCTAAGATGGTTGGCCGGAAAAGCCCGAGATTTGAGTGGGAGCATCACCTCAACCATCACGGGTTTTCACGGAGATGGGATCGGGTGCAACCATGGCCTGTGATGCCTTAATGTATGCCCTGTTTCCGCGCGGCCACAGTGAAAGTCCAGATTTTCATGTAATCAGCTTTCACGTCTTTGATACAGAATGTACACATATATATATGTCAACATATATATATACACATAAATATGATGATACTTATTGGATCTTATTGGATGGGGCTGTCTTTTTGCTGAATTCTGCAGACAAAGTTTGGGACTTCCCCCAATACGTGATACATTTAGCACCACTTCAGGTTTTGACCCCAATCCGCTTGTGTAATATCCCTTTCACTTGAGGTGCAAACCAAGAAGTGACAGATGTTTTTTTTGAAATCAGATGCGTTTCCTAAAATCAGAGATAATATGATAAGTTTTGCCTCTGTGATTAGAGGCTGGACGAAGGAACACCTGGAAGATCCATGTGTATATATATATAGATAAATACATATGACATCATATGACAAATAAATACAAGTGCTCAGAATAGAGGAGACTCCCCAAAGAGACATACTGTATATAGATAGTATGAATGAAGTTTATAAACATGTTTTGGTTCACGTGGGTAATCAGATCCCAAGTTCCATTGTATGATGTTGTACAGTATCATTTTGTGCCGTAGTCAAAAGACCTGCACGCACATATATATATATATACACATATATATATATATACATACATGGGTTAGTTTTCGACAGTTTTACTGGGTTCCGATAAGAAACAATCTCTATTGAGATAGATCATTGATATGATCTCCGGGTTTAACCCGACATGATCCCTATTTGGGATGGTAAAATGATCCCCATGGATCCCTCTAAGAAAAGTTACCAAACAGTGGACTTCAATGACAATTTTTAAATATATATATATATACAGTACCATTACATTCTCGTTACTATCCCATGAAATCCCCAGCTCCAACTGCTCCTGTATCCCTGGCGCAAACGGGCTCCCCGCTCCCCCTGAAGGAAGGCCTGGGTCCCAAGTTGTTGTCGGGATATCCCAACATCCTGAAGCACAAGGCTCCGGCCGTGCGGCGTGCGTTTGGGCATCCCTTAGGTCTATGATCATCTTGAGACCGAAAAGGGGGCTGGAATATAAAGGTACCTAATTTCTAATTGAATTGCCTCAAAATTACTAGGAATAGTTCTTTTCCAGTGTTGCTTGGGACTTATGAGACAAAATACCGTAATCCGTTCCACCGACCTGGCTAAGTAATATTACTAAGACCACCATGACTGGGCCTCAACATGAATAGATCCAATAAAAGACCTGGCTTGCAGGGTGGTGTCTAATACTAGGGAAAGGATTATATAACTAGATAATCACAAATTTGCTAGGTGGCGTTGAGGCTCTACGATTCCAGTTTCTGGTGGAGATGGTGCAATGGCAGGTTCACTAGGTGATGTTCACGGCATTATTGACATTGAACATGCAGATCCCAGTTCAGGATTTAAATATATGCTGATGCACATCCATATATTCGGTACTCGTAAATCATAAAGCCAAAGATTTGAATCTAGATGTGATCCCTGAAAAACTGATGAAGCCATGACTTTCACGGGGTTATAGTCCTCATTATTCCTCTACTTGTTGGTGGTTTCAAACATTTTTTTGTTTTCCCTTAGTCACGGGATGAGGATCCCAACTGACTTTCCATTAGTGGCTCAACAACCCATCAGTTGAGTATAAACCAGCTGCTATCTCTTTAACTTCAGCTGTATTTCTATGAAAACAGGCTTTTCAAGATTCAACAGATTGAAACCTTAGCTGTTGAAGCATGTTCCCTTTAGGCCTTAAAACATATTGCCCTGGCCATCCAAATCAGACCGTGAGCCAGGAGATGGTGGCTGCTATACCCGAGGTTCAGAAGTATTACAAGAAACAAAACAATGCCGCTGGGCAGCGAAAAGTCTACGGACGACCCATCGAAGCAAGCCACTCGAGAATATTACTAAATATTTTTAATAAACATATATGTACGTTGATGTGCATATCTATCTATCCATCCATCCATCCATCTATCTATCTATCTATCTATCTATCTATTTGTCTGTCTGTCTGTTTGTTTGTCTGTCTGTCTGTCTGTCTATCTCCCTATTTGTCTGTGAAATTGTCTATCTGTCTATCTGCCTTTCTGTCTATCTGTCTATCTATTTGTGAATCTGTATCAATTTATCTATGTTTTTTGTTTATCTATCCTCAATATATTCTTATCTTTTCTTTTCTGATATTTTATTTTCCTTTCTTTGTCTGTTGTTTTTTTGCAGATCTATATTATTTTACATCTATGTCTATTTATGTATGTATCTGTGTATCTATGCCTCTGTGTCGCTGTGTCTCTCTATGTCTGTATCTCTATCTATCGTTATTTCTATCTGTTGTTCTATCTATATGGTTCTATCTATTGTTCTATCTATCTATCTATCTGTCTGTCTGTCTGTCTGTCTATCTACCTACCTACCTACCTACCTACCTACTTAACTCTCGATCTTTCGATCTTTCGATCGATCGATCGATCTATATATGCATCTGAAACAGGTAGTATGAGATATGGAATTCTTACCCGTGATTTGACCGGCAAAGTATTGGCCTTTGAAAATGGTTTAAGCAGATTTGTGTTCAGAAAGTCTGTTGAACATGGTGCTCGTATCATGTTTGGGGTTTGAATCTTTGGTTCCTCACAGCACCATGCATATTTTGAGACTTAACAAGCGGCCAATTAGTTCCTGGGTCGGGCTGGACGAAGCGAAGCAGTCACGGATTTTGGCATGTTTTGCCAAATTCTGCCTGGCTGTTGTGTCACCGTTCTATTCCCAGTCTGGCTGGGTATAAGTCCTAAGGCTGGATTGCCGTATTACGAGGTGACGCTGCGCGGTTTTTTTTGGGGGGTAATTCAGCGACGGCCTTGGGGGCGAAGTATTGAAACCCATGGTGACTCGGGGGTCCTCCATTTTTGGAAACGATGAATTGCCCTCTGGTAATTTAACATAGCTATTGAAAATGTCAATTTATAGTGAGTTTTCCCATTAAAAATGGTGATTTTCCATAGCTACGTTAAATTACTAGAGGGTGGCTGGTTTCAACTGTCTTCTTTAGAAGCTCGTGCCCTCCCTTGGATTGCCCCTCATCATGTGTCTCAGAATGGACATTGAAGCGATGAGCAACCCGTGGCTTGCAGCGGCAAAAATCATGGCGTATGCCACTTATAACATCTTACAACCTGTCTTTCAAATGATGGGTTGAACATGGTTGTATAGACCCACGGTTCAACCCATGGTTAAAACCATGTTAAAACCCATGGTTAAACCATGTTAAATACTGTTGTTTCACCAGTTTCCAGCAATTTTTCCTCCTGCAGGTCTTCCTCCCGGGCTATTGAGGCCGCGAGTTTTGAGTTTTTGAGGCTGAATGTACCACTTAAATGGTAGTTATAAATGGGTGTATAAATAGTTTGAAATGGCCATAAATGCTTATAAATGGTGATACATAAATGGGGTTATCATTCCACAAATGGTGACTTACTGACTTACTGACAAGAATCACTGGTATTTCGGGCCATAGCTGCAGCAGGTTGGTTCCGGTTGGACAAGAAGCAACTTTGGTCAACAATGTCATTCATGTATGGGTCAGATATCTGAATTTTGCACAAATGGGCTGGTCTCCCAAAATGACCATAAGTAGATCCACTAGTGGGTAATAAACCTTGGGTAGGTGCACAGAGATGATTGGCTCATGCAGTCTATTTGAGCTGAAGACCATTTGATTTTTGCTTCATTTTCGCAGTTTGTTGGTTGTGACCCCCTATGATGCATCCCAATTTCAAAAAATATATTGTATGGACTCAGCCACGACCAGGTTTCCCCAATCTTAGAGGCCCTTGCTCCGCTCAGGAAGAACGCTGAGTGGTTACGTAGCACAGCGGTAGCAGAAGCGTTGCACCCTTGACTGGCGGGCCAGCTTGGTCGAGTGTGGTGATGGCGGTGATGTGGCCCCAACCATGGCTGAAGTAAATAGTTGGATTAGTTTGCTTCCTATATGGCTTCACTTTTGTTTCTTGATATTCTGGGAAACTTGGAGAATTGTCACGACATCACTGGCCCACTGAGGCCCAAAAGTGCTAGTTAATGAGGAAAGCCACTATATATATAATTATAATATATATATATATGATATAATATATATATAACATTTATAATATAATATTTTAATATTATTTATGTAGGTCTAAAGGCTAAAGGTTTATATATTTGATTTGTTTAAGGCTTGTTACCATCTTCCCAAACTACTAGGATGGTCCGATTTAAGTTTGTAAGGGTTTGCAAGTGGGCCTCATGACTATTCAGAATTAGGATATTTCATGATACTGACGGAGCGGTCAAAAAATGACAGGAGCACGCCCAAAAAACATCGACAAAATGTGGATGACAGGAGGCCAGATATACAAGGTGGCTCCCCCAAACAATAGGTAAGTTTGTTTATGACAACAAGTAGCTTAACATAGCTTACCTATAGTTAAATTTATTGATGTGTTTATAAATTTTATAAATAAATAAATATATATATATATATACAGTACATAAACCAGCTTATCACCGGGAACGGAGCAATCTGACTGTAATACGGTTTGTTTCCCGAAAGTTTGCCGCCAAAGGTTGATGGTTTGGACGACTGGGCAGTTTTTTTGGTGACATCACTGTGACCTCACCGTAGACTGTGGTTAGTAGGTTCCCAAAATGACCATATTTCTGGCGCATTGTCCACCCAGATATGGTGATTGAAGATGGTAAATACCATTTCCATGTTTGATCACGGAGAGTACACCCTTGAATTTTTGCATTGGCAATACGCCAGTTTCTTGGACACACAAAGCTGAAGTGCAGAATGGATGCATTTTATATGGACAAATTATAATTTTAAAGCGGATGGTATGGCCACCTCTTTCGAAGTCCTTCATTTCAACTTAGATAATTACATCAAAGTATTTCATCCGTGGGTCATTTGATGCCTGAGAAAGACGACATCTGCCATGGCACCCATCTACTTGGGCAACTTCATCTCGCCAGCCCTGGGCCTGGTGGAGCGGCTAATGACCTATACGTCTCACCTGTTTGACGCGAAAATGTCCCCGGCCTAGTCCTGGAGAACCTTGGATAGCCTCCGGACTGCGCTGGAAGCAAGATGGTCTGAGGTCTGAAGATGAAAGGATGAGGAAAGGTCTTACTTTCCATGTGCGTAGACTTTACAGGCTAACAGGTCACTTCAGAGGCCTCATATCAACTTGTTTCAGACTCTATTGCACTGTGCTGGCCACGCCAGCACGGGTTTGCTGTGGTGAATCGAAGGGCCAGGTTTTTAGCCCAGTTGAACAGCATGAATGATCTACAATGATAAACAGGTTGTTTGCCTGTTAATCGACCACTGATAAATGGGGGGCACAACATAGCAGGGCGGCCCGGGGCAAGGCTCTGTAGATCATTTGTGATTCTTCAGACTTGGGGGACCCCAAAGATCAAAAACCATGAGAACACTTCAGGATTCAAGTTCTTCAATTTATATCATGTTCACTACTTTGATATGCTAAGTGGAGCAACATACACCAAATGGGTTTGTCTGAAAATAGGCTATATTCCCAAACAAATAGCCATTTAAAAACGGGATAATGATCAGCAAAACCATTGGGTAAAAAGGGGTTTTCTCTATTTTCAGACACACCCAAATAAGGATAATAATAATTTGGTACATTATTATTGGTACATAATAAAAATTAAAATTAATAAATATGGTACATTATTATTAACAAACCAATAAATTTCCAATTGAACTTGCCACGGAGATCCACATGCTTTGATGCGAGCAGAAAAGGAGACTGCAGGTTTGATCTAACGTTGGCTGGTGGTTTTTAAAACCTTTGGTCCTGGGACCATGGGAAATACCAACGAGATATAGGATTATATATATATAGATATATATATATATAATATAATATATAGATATATATATATATATAGATATATAGATATATAGATATATAGATATAGACTGATATATAGATATATAGATATATAGATATATAGATATATAGATATAGACTGATATAGACTGATATAGATAGAGTTAGATTTAGATAAATGTGGCTGATAAAGACTTATACAAACAGACGTTGATAGATATAGATAGCTAAATAGATATACATGGATAGACATGGATCGATATAGATAGATATAGATATAAATAGGATAGATACAGCAAAATGTATACACGTAAAGATTCAGATATATGTAGGTAGATTTCGATGAAACTATGTATAATTATGTATACATATTATACATAAATAGACAAGTAAACACACATATCGATACATATCGATCAATAGACAAATTGAAGAATTTGATTAGATTAGACTAGATTTGATCGGATTTTAATTAGATTACATAGATAGATAGATATCAAATTAGAATTGCACTTACAAACATGCTGACCCAATGACCCAATCTGAAAACAACATAGCGCTGTTTAGTTTGCTTTGGTTGATACGAGGCTAACCGGGAACTTTGTTTGACAACTTCGGCTTGAAATGGTTAGAGATAACCATAATGAGAACTTAAGCAACTTAGCCAAGTAAAAACAACAGGGATAGTTAGATAACCGTGATAGGGCCTTATTTTTTGAAGGTTAACCGCCGTTCTCATCCCTTGATGGACCTTGGTTCATGGTTGATTTTCGAGTACATGAGGCACTTGGAAAATCATTTCATAGGGGTTACAACTGACTTATGGCAGGTACCCTCTGGTAAACTAACATAGCTATGGAAAATCACCATTTTCAATGGGAAAATCCACTATAAATGGCAATTTTCAATAGATATGTTAAATTACCAGAGGGTATTTCGGACAATACATCACCAGCTTTGTAGTCTTCCCTGGCGACATGGTCCGACGCTGCGATGTTTCAAGATTTTAGCGGAAAAAACATCTTGCAATGACGCAGGACGCATGTGATCTACTTTGGATGTTGCATGTGTGGGTAGCTGAAATTGGCATCTGCTTTATGCTGCCTGACCTCAGCATATGTGATGTATATCATTGTGTATCTATGTTGTCTATGTGTAAGGGTGACCAAAAGATGGACGGGTCTCTCTCCCCACTGATTTATCGATCATGAGTTACTGTTCTATCTTTTTCGGGATATGTATATATATATAATTATGCATCATATATATATATGTATTATGTATATTGTTCATTGTTCTATAATATAGTGGTAAAATGCTTGATTAGTTGGCCGCCCAAAAGAAGGATAAAGCACAAGGTTGCTAACTACTGGTGCGCTTCAAGTAAAGTGGATCATTTTGCGATGATGTTTCCCTACGATCCTATAGACGAGTTGATGAGTCGAGAAGGTACCTTGTAACTTGTAACTATTTCTACTCATGAGTTGATAAGCAATACCCTCTGGTGAACTAACATAGCAATTGAAAATGGCCATTAATAGTGGATTTTCCCATTAAAAATGGTGGATCTTTCCATTGCTATGTTAGTTCACCAGAGGGTATTCCAACCAGCGTCTAGGTCTAGGTCCTTTGGTGACCCATTTCTCTGTCGAAAGTCATGGCGGGTTCCTCCAATGGTGATGCTGGATCTGCAGCGTTGAAGTCCAATGGAGGCGGGATGTTGGTGATGCCATGCTGATAGGGAATTACCCTCTGGTTATGTCAAAATAGCTATTGAAAATGACCATTAATAGTGGATTTTCCCATTAAAAATGGTGATTTTCCCATCAGTTATGTTAAATTACCAGAGGGTATAGGGTTTTCTAGGGATAATCATTGGGAACATAATAGAGCTGGAATCTACAGGGATTAAAAAACAAAACATCCCAATAAGGATGATATGGATGGAATTATTGGGATGTTTAGGGGATATAATTGGGATAACAAATGAGGCATGTGGTACAGTGGTGGTGAGATTGCGGGCACAGCAGCCGTGGATTCACACTGTTTCCGTTGGCAGGCACGTTTTATCCAGGTGGATATGTCAAACTGAAATTTTCACCCTGGCAGTAGATTGAGACATAGGAAAATAAATCCCCAACTGGCTATACGGGGTTGCCTCAACATAGAGTACTGGAGAACTCCCTATGATGCTTGAGGAGATCATTTTCTCAGTAAAGTTGCAATACATTTGAGTGGTGTCCATTTCGACACAAACCCAATGGAAAATCCACAATTGTTGCTTGGTGAGATCTGCAATTTTCAGTTTTTGAAGTCCCTTTTGTTTATACTCAATTTCCTATTATATCACCATCTTCGATGCTTGCATCATCATCATTTCTTTCCTTAATCTCCCGTTCTTGCTTGATTAAAATCCCATCCCATTTTTTTTCAGTTGAAATCGCCATTTTTTTGCCTTTAAACTCACCCAACCTCCATGTCTTATTTTTCTTGCTGCCTCAAAAGCAGCCACTGCTCCACTGCAGATGCAGCACCGCAGAAAGCCTCGGCGCTGCGTGGCAAGAAGAGGTGGTTGCGTGGAAACGGGCAAACATGGGAATCAATGGTGAATTACATGAATTTACACGATTTCTCTGGATTTAACAATAAAACATGGGGATTCAATGGCATGTTCATGGGAATACAACGGGATATATAGCCAACACAATAATTATATCACGAATGGCAACCTGGGGACCCTGGTTTTTGTGAGACCAAACTTTCACGAAAATGGGGGTTCAACCAACAACAAGAGGGAATTCTAGCTGTATGATCGGAATATCACGGGATATGGAAGTCGGCCAAATGGGTCTTTATCATCTATATACATTCATATACTATGCACAGATTCTTCTTGGTGCTATATACACGTTGGATACCTTGAAATACACGTGACCTACCCGTAGTTGGTATGGGTGAAATATGGTGCCTTTGGTCTGTATTTCAACCAGTTGGACATTAATGCGCTGGGGCCAAGGAAAGCCAGGTATCGATGTTCAGAAGCAGCAAACCCACCCGCGTTCTTGGGCGGTCCCCGATCTGAAGAACCACAACCTGACGAGTTTTGGTTCATTTGTAAGCTCTAGTAATTTAAATAATTTAAAATGGAAAATGACCCATTTCTAGATGATTCAAGATATTTATAGATATTTAATCCTGAGAAATGCTGGCTTTCCCATGGCAAAGTGTTAGATTACCAGATGTTAAAATCACCAGTTTGTTTTAGGGTGTTCCATTCTTACCCCATTCCATCCCAGTGATATCTCTAAATGGTGATTTCCATAAATGGTGCCTCCAGTCATCATCCATGTTTGTTTCGGATTTTCCATAACAAAAACCATCCATAAATGGGGGTACCCTCTGGTAAACTAACATAGCTATTGAAAATGGCCATTTATAGTGAGTTTTCTTATTAAAAATGGTGGTTTTCCATAGTTATGTTAGTTTACCAGAGGGTACTATGACTATGGAAACCCACCAATTATGTATGGTTGAAACCCTGCCTCGGGATCCTTGGGAGGCCGTTGGACGGGAGCCACGCCTCAGAAACTGCCCATGGTGTCAGCTGGGACGAGGCTGGGTTGAACATCCCCTTGGCGCCCAAACGAAAACCTTAGGAAAACCCCTAGGAAAACCATAGGAAACTGGTGATTGAACCGAAGCGCCACGGACTTTTGGTCAGTTTACAATAGGAAAAATGGATGAACATAGTGATTTCACCAAGCTAAACATGGTGGATTAAGTTTACGCCCTGTTCGCTTGGTGAACGGTTGGGAGTATGGGTGATCTGTGGGAATTTCAGAACCCTAAAATGGAGCTACTGTACCATAATTCTTGGCCATATTGTTGTTGGCATATTCCCTGAAATGTCGCCCCGAGGGGCCTTATATCTGGAGGTCACCTGACTCATGGGGTGAATCTGATATGTTTGTCCTCTGGATCCAGAATGATCAAATATCTCCTGAGAAGGCAAATTTAACTTCACCTTCTGAATCAATCTATTTAACTGATATAATGATATATGTAATCATATCATTCCAATAATACTCCGGAAAAGAAGGTGCCGATAGATCAAGGCATGTTTTAATCAACATACCTTGCTCTTGTGTGCATTTGGGGCATCATTGTTGGGGGTCAAGCAATGTCAAGTACCTTCTCACAAGATACCTAGATCCATGGGAATCATACTTTCAAACCAGAGGAGAAACATATCATTTCTTGCAATATTACAATATCAAAATCAGTCGATGCATATATTTGGGCAAGCCACTGGACGCGCTGATACTATAATTCATTGTACTTACACCTGAATGCGCCTGGTGCATCACACCTTTGATTGGGTGTTGGTGTTGAGTGATTCCCAATCCATGATTTGTAATGATGTGAATATCAAATGGGAGCATGTTTTTCAAATCATCTGAATCTTAAACCCTTTAATGTACTTAAAAGAAATCGCATAAAACATCGTGCTTGTTTGTACCTGAATATCATTTGTTGAACCATAGATATCCATAGACATCATACTTTATAGACTGCAATCCTAGTTGGGGATATCCTAGCTCTGGATTCGTGTTTATCTGCGGGCTGTTTGATTGGGGAACTTTCCTCTTAAAATATCATACTATATATATATATATATTATATATATATATATATATATATGCATAACTGTTTTTAGCTAATTCGGTGAGCCCTGAAATCAACCAACCAATGAGCTGATCGTGTCTGATATGAGCCTACATCTAGATTAGATGGTTTGATGGAGAAAGCTGCAAGCAAAATCTCTGCGATTGGAAAGTTGGGCACAGACCATGGCCCCAGGAAAAAAAGGTTCAAATTCAGCTGTGGTGTTCCACCCTTTCTCCAAAATTCTCCAACATTCTCGCCATTTAGCGAACATTCATCCCATAGCGATCCTGGAACTTTTCCCCTCGTCCCTGGGATGGTGACGATGGATAAAAGCCACACACCAATGCCATAAAGCTACCATTTGGGGATGGTTGGAATACCACGCATGAAAACGATGATTTTGGGGGATAGTTTATGGCATTGGGTCTACCACTTGTAGGTGGTATAAACGATATTCTAGTATTTTCCGAATGATTATATAATGATTATAGTGATATGTGTATATATTTTATATTATAAATTGGCTTTACATGGGTTTACCACATTTCAGGTTTACTGCAAAACTACGTATAATACTAGAATGACTATAATACATTATAATATGGCCAACGCATTGGTGAGTCCAGCTGGCTAGCGGCCCCCCTATGGCCACCGCGAGGCCAATCTCGCGGAACACGACAAGGAGAGGGGCACCAGGTGCTGTGACGTCGGGGCGGTGTTGGGCAGAATGATCGTGAAGTTCTTCAGAACCATCTTGTGAGATCGCTGTTGATTTATGTTGATTTATGATTTGAGACAGATCAGAGAGGTCCGGTCGTTTTTGTGTCCTGCTTTGGACCATTGAAATGGGTCAACGGACTGGATGATTGGATGGGTAGTTTATATAATCGGTTCATCTTGTGCCATAGGAAATATCATGGAAATATATGGAAATATCATGATATCTATCAACAAACAAAGGTTTTGTTTGCAGATGTTTGTTTTAACAAAGGTACCCATTCGATTGGCAACGATTTCACTCTAGCTATCCTCATCCATTGGGCAGGCGCAAGATTGACGAGCCCAAGACGCCTTGGGCGCAGAGTCCTGTGTCCTCGGAGGATGAGGCGTGGCTGGCGTGGCGTGGGATGCTGATGTAGTGGTGATGTACCATGGGATGAGGAAACCCCAAGTCATAGAATTATGCAAATTGTAGTGTATATATGTATATACAGTATACAGTGTATATTTATATTTATGTATACAGTAATATTATGTATATATATATATGTATCTATAGTATAAATAATACATAATAATAATAAGTAAACAACTAATTACGGATTACATACATGAAACTAGACATTGGTTTTAATTTAATCATTATATATATATGCACATACCTGGGAAACCTGGCAATTATTATGAATAGGATCCGGCTGAATAATCACTTTCTTTGCATTTCTTTTGGGACACAAATAATACAATTTGTTAGATTATCATGGATATGGAGCACCCATTATTTCCCAAGGAACGTGATGTATAAAGGGTTGGTTTTCTTTCTGCTAATTGATTGGAGGCTGTGGACATATTTTACATCGAATCATACTGTAGAATCTGTGATTATGATTGATTATGTGATATAATGCAATGCAACGGATGCAGCGCAATGGAATGAATTGTGTGTATATATGTATGGTATGTGTGTTATGTTAATGTTATGTCAGTTTATCTTATACAATGTAGTGTAACAAAATGTAGTACTGTAAAATGTAGTGAAATGTACTGAACTATGGTTATGAACTGTAAAGTAATGTATGTATGCATGTATGTAGATGTAATAAGCCCGGTAATCCCCACCAAAATAGAGTTTGACAAATAAGATGGGGATGACAGTGGTGATTTCACAAATAACATATGGGGATGTATGTATTTGGGAAAACTCAAAAGCACGACCTCAGAACGATGTCACCACAAACGGTTCGGGCATGTTTCTGGTTTGGTATTTAGGATAGTTTGCAAGGATAGATGCATATTAATATATACATGCATACATACACATATATATATATATATATATGTATTATATCCAAATATATGTCTTATTGTCTACTTATCGCATGATAATTGGTACCCTCTTCACAATCGCGGTCGGGTGTTGTGGACCTTTGGACCCTGGCCCAGCTCCATTTTTGTAGGGTTCAGCAGCATCAGTTGGGGAAAAACATCCTTAGAGCATCGCTAAGATGGTTCGTGTTTCATATGAGCAACCAAAAAAACGACTTCATCAACAGAAAAAAAAGATATAGGTAGCAACCATACTGTACAAGGGGCGGTAAATCAGTCGGGTACCATATCAAGTACCAGCCTTCTCTTGAGATATGTCATGTGCCTCATCAATGGACAAGGTTTCGAAGGACACCGCATCCACTGCAGTGACGATTCAGGAACCCTTTTCATTCCATCTGTGTATGGGCTAAACAAATGCAAAAACATGTTACTGTATAACCTATGATGCCATATTTTGGGTGACTAAACATCCGTTTGCCCCCCGGGTTCCAAGTTCTGATGCAGAGCTATTCCAGTCTACATTCTGTGACCAATCCTTGTGGCTTCCCGGGATGAAGGTGCCCGGTGCCGAGAGCACTGTCCCTTCCACCTCAACGAATCGAATATTGGTTAAACCTATATTGGTTGATATAGACCTATTGTATCCTTCAATATAGACCTATAATAACCTATAATATATAGGATATAGTTGGCCAAAGAACAGATTTCATAGATTTCATCATTTCAACATTTCAACATTCTGAGGTTGAGATGGAACTAACTCATCTATTGTACTTGTCATTTGGATCTGTCCTGCGATGTGCAGGGTGCCAAGAGCCCCGACGGTCCCAAGGCGGAGCCGCACAATGGGCATAGCCGAAACTGCCATAGGGGTTGTTCTCGAAATTTGCGCAAAGTTTTTGGGGAGATGCACCCAATTTCTGCCAAAAATAACTATACATATATAATCATATATAATCATATATATGTAATATCTATCTCTCTATATATATATATATATGCATATATATATATATATAATACATATGGTACAGAATCTCTCCATTTTAGGGTCCGATCAAATTCCAAAGAAGATCGTCACTCCGAGCAGCGACTCCAGTTTTCTTTGAGATTTCTCATCACGGATCCCAGGGCGGCCCTTCCATTCCCGTAGGGATGTGGTTTCTGTGGGGATAACGGGAACTTATAGCAGGCTCTTGTGGGGTTCACTTAACTTATTCATAATCTAAGTAACCATAAGCCTATTTGATAAGTATGACATATTATTTGTTTAATCCATAAGTATCCATAAGTTCAGTTTTGAAAACGGACCTGGGAACCAACCAGATCCCAGACTCATTTTACTTGAGAGGAGTTTATGATGAAATCAGTCTCCATAAAGAAGATTCAGTTGAGATACGGTCAAAATAAGCGTAGACTACTCTAGTAAGGGAGGGTCCAGTTGTGTCCAGAAAGTGCCCCAAACCGTGTAAAGCGATAGGGCCCCCCAAAAAAAACGATAACTTGTAATCATATGAGAGTGCATTGAACTTGGTGTAAACCAAGAACATATTGTTGTGCACCTTCACGCGATGGACAAAATTGATGAAACAAATTCAACCTGCAGTGCCCACGTTTCTTGCAGTGGCCATGTCATTTGTTGTCCAAGGTGATTGAACCGTTGCTTTCTGCAGGCAGTTTGTTTTTTTTCTCCTAGGTCCCAAAGCAGTAGAATAGAACTAAACTAAATGACTAAATGCAATTGAATTCTGAATTAAATTAAAAAAAACAACTTTTCCCTTTTACTTGCCTTTTTAAAACTAAACGCAATTGAATTCTGAAGTGAATCAAAATTGTTTTTTTGAATCCAATTCTGAAATTCTGAAGTCCATCTATTTCATCTTTTCCTTTTGTTTCATTTGTCCTTTTCATTTCCTTTTCTCTTCCTTTCTTGATCATCCTGGTGTTCTAATTTAGCGATAACCTAGCGATAACCTTTGTTGAAAAAAGGACCCCGGGCGAGGGATAGACTCATTTGACCACAGCGGTATCCCATAGAATTATTATTGATCTTATATTGGTTTACTGTCATTCTAGTTTGGAGTTGAGATTGTAATAAATTTCCTTGCTTAGGAAAGAGTCTAGGAATGTGCTTAGGTAGCTCCCCAACATGGTTGCAAGCGCAAAGACAGGAGCGTCCCCTTAATCCATCCCCGGCAGTTTAGAGATCTGAATTCGTGAAGCCAATTCCGCTGCATTTTTGCATTATTTAGTGTTGATTTGAATAAAACAATGTAAAGCTACAGGGTACCCCCAAAAAAGCGATAAGCTATATTTTCGTACCAAGCATCAACAATTGATTTTGACGGCGGCTCAGTTCAACCGTTTGCAGTTTGTCAGGAACGACTCCAATCGAAGCATCACATTTTCGAAAACCATTCTAATATGATCTACGATGGTTTATTTGAAGAATGGGGCACCCATGGGCACCCTTGACCCCAATGGATTATCAACATTTATCAACATTTTCTCCATAGACATGGCCATATATTGGAGGTACACAATATACCATATATATATATGTATATGGTTCATGAATCTCATTCACTGGAAATCAAAACCGTATCTACCCCTGCCTGAAAATAGGAGGTACCTAAGAAAATGCAATTTTAAAAAGATAAAGTCATGATCAACCTTGAAAGTTAGCAAGTCTCCCCTAAATTGTCAGATAAGCCATGATGTCCGTCAAAGGGCTGATTTGTGGCTTCGTTGAGAACCAAATTGTTTATCATGAAGTCCGCTACAATCCATTCAAACCACAATTTCTTGGCGGGTTAATCCCAGTCATCAGAGTTGACCCTCCAATTCGATTCCGAGAGGACCGCCGCAGTGATTCATTGGTTTATAAATCAATCCAATCCCATGTATACAGTACACATGCACAATAATCTACAGATACATATTCACATACACATACATATGCATATACACAAAATACTTATTTATGTCAATATACATATGTCAATATACATATGTCAATCTAATTCAATATACATAGGTAAGGTCAATATACATATGTCAATATATACATACGTCAATATACATAGGTCAATATACATATGTCAATATATATATATATATATATATATATGTCAATATGCATATGTCAATCAATATATGTCAATATACACATGTAAATATACATTTGTCAACATCCATTTGTCAACATCCATATGTCAACATACATATGTCAACATACATCTGTCAACATACATATGCCAACATACATATGTCAACATACATATGTCAACATACATATGTCAACATACATATGTCAACATACATATGCCAACATACATATGTCAAGATACATACATACATACAAAACATTACATTACATTTCATTACAATACAATACAATACATAACATAACATTACATTACATTACAATACATTACAATACAATACAATACATAACATAACATTACATTACATTAATACATACATGCATGCATACATCCATACATACATACACACACCTCTACATATGTCAACATACATATGTATATACATACATATGTCAACATACATATGTCAACATACATATGTCAACATACATATGTCAACATACATATGTCAACATACATATGTCAACATACATAAGTCAACATACATATGTCAACATACATATGTCAACATACATATGTCAACATACATACAGTAGATGGACAAATTATTCAATCCCCGCATCCATGAGTTGTAGGCTACCCCCTGTCCCCCCAAATTTCAACGTTATGTTTTCGTATCTTTGTTCCTGATCTTAGGGTTTGATTTATTTCGTCCATTCGAAGGAGCGATCCAAACCAACAAAACAACATTGTAATTGGGGGTGCGGGTGGTTATTGGGTTAGGGTTTGAATAATTCGTCCATCTACGGTACGGGGAGCGGTGGTCAGCAGGAGCGCAGAGAATGTGAAGGGTAATTTTTCCTAGTTTGTAGTTTGTTTTTTTCTGTTCCGTGATACGTTGTCTTTACGCGCGCTTTGCTGGTTCAGTTCCGGCCTTCTTCCATTTCCTTTCCTTAGACGTGATTGCAGCTGCTGTGCTTTTCCAACTCCCTTCCTTAGGCATGATTGCAATTCCTGTGTTTTTCCAACTCCCTTTCCCGGGTGTGATTGAAAATGCGGTGTTTTTCCAGTTCCCTTTCACGGGCGTAATTGAAAATGCTATGTTTTTCCAATTCCCTTTCCCGTGTGTGATTGAAAAGGCTATGTTTTTCCAATTCCCTTTCCCGTGTGTGATTGAAAATGCTGTGTTTTTCCACTTCCTTTTCTTCAGCGTGTACGAAGTCCTGTGTTTTTCCAATTCCCTTTCTCTTTCCCAGTTCCCTTTCTCTTTCCCAGTTCCCTTCCCAGTTCCCTTCGCGGATTCCCTGCGTTTTTCAAGGAAAGTGCGTTGGCATTTTTTTGAAAGAAAAAACGAAACATGAGACAGTAGATGGACAAATTATTCAATCCCCGCATCCATGAGTTGTAGGCTACCCCCTGTCCCCTCAAATTTCAACGTTATGGTTTCGTATCTTTGTTCCTGAGCTTAGGGTTTGATTTATTTCGTCCATTCGAAGGAGCGATCCAAACCAAAAAACAACTTTGTAATCTTGTTTGATGATTTAAGGCAGAGTAAGGGTATCACAGAAACCGTTTCAAACCGTTTCCCGCTACTTGCGAAGTAATAGTCCGAAACCGTCCGAAACCGTTTCCTACTATTTGCGAATTCACCCTGGCAAAAACTGCAAATAGTTTCAAATAGTTTCAAAGAGTTTCAAATAGTTTCTGAGAATGGCTAATTAGCAAATAGTCTGAAACCGTTTCACACCGTTTCCCGCTACTTGCTAGGTAATAGTCCGAAACCGTTTCAAACCGTTCCAAACCAATCCCCAGGAGGCGTAACTTGAATTACCTCTTTAGTTGTTTATTAGTGTATAATTTATTGAATATTTTTCAAAAGTTTCCAAAACTTGGATTTATTCAAGAAATAGTTTCTGTAAATTTGGTTTATTTAACCAATAATTTCTGCAAATTGGGTCGATTTAAGAAATAGTTTCAAATAGTTTCCTAGCTTAAGGTTAATTTAGGAAATAGTTTCTGTAAATTGAGTTTATTTAAGAAATAATTTCTGGCCTCCACAGACAAAGAGGCCAAGGCACTCCCCAATGCTTAATCAAACACCACTAGGTCACCATAATGTATTCGCTATGTATATGCATCTGTGATTAATAATGATTAAACATTGATCTTTTTAAAATGCGTTGACATCTATCATAATATTTGATATAACTGTAAAAAACACATGACCAACAATGATACATCATGATGATGATCCATAAAACTAACCACCAAACATATGGGTGGTTTCGTAAAATAGGGGTACCCCTTTTTTTCATTCCAGTAGGATTTTCCATTGTAAACCATCCATTTGGGGTACCTCCATTTATGGAGCCTCCAGACCTGGTTTCGCAGGCCGCTCTCGACGCGGCGGCGCCGGGGTTCCCAGCCGGATGGCTTCAAATGAGGTTTGAGACTTAACGGAATTTCATGGAGATAGGACTAGGGTATATATATATATATAGAATGATAATGTTTAAATATACATGATAGATATTGATATATTCACTCATCAATATGATAACATATTAATGTATTAGATTATTAAAATTAGATGGCGACTTTATTTGATTCGATTTTGTATAATGAAAATAAACTAGGATATACATCCACAACCAAGTTAACCTGATTTGGGTTTGTATGAACCTGGGTTTAACTGTCTGATGTGTGCTTTTATTTATGGCAAATCTGGTGACAAACCCGGCTAAAATTCAACTTTGTTGCAGTATATCTAGTAAGATTACGGGAAAAAATACTAGATATACTAGATATAACCCTTGCATCTTAGTAAGTTGCTGTTTGTTCAGCCATTGGATTATGGAAAAACCCTTGCATCCGAAAAAATCCAAACAGCTGTTGGGCATTTTATGGATTCACCGGATGGGCCGTGGCGCTCAGATTGGCATGGTTACATGTTTATGGATGTTTCATATGGGTAATGGTAGTGATGTTGTAGCTGGTGTTTAATTTTTACATGAATCATGATATGGAGTTGTCTTGCTGTCTGGACCCCCATTTCATCCCTTGGTTTCGAAAATTAAAGTCCCTTTTGACAAACGGCCATGAATTTAGAGTAATTATTTTATTTCTAGGCTTAAAATCAAGCGGGCATTTGTTTAATTGTCGCATGGTTTAGAAATTTAGAGGGCAATGAAAACACATATCCAATCTTAGAATTTGGTGACTATTACTTGGCGGTGCAATTCCAGGGAACATTTCACCATAGTGATTGGGGCCCCAAAGAATCCCCGGCTCCCATGAGTCCCAACTGCCTCCCCAAGTATCAACTTTAATGGTATCCCATTGGGATTAACACTTGGCTTTGCAATGAGTCATTTCTGGATGGGATGCGTAGAAAGGGAACCAGGACATTTTTCAAGAATACGTTCAAGGCAACAAGACTAGTACTGAAAGGATATCACTGATATCGTATCTGTATGTATATATACACATTTGTTTATGCACATTCATATTGCGTATATATATATATATATATATATATTTATTATTGTAATATATTGTAATATATTGTAATATTTTGTAATATAGTGTAATATAGTGTAATAAAGTTGTAATATATTGTAATATATTGTAATATATTGTAATATATTGTAATATATTGTAATAAATTGTAATATATTGTAATATATTGTAATATATTGTAATATATTTTAATGTATTGCAATATATTGTAATATATTGCCATATATTGCAATATATTGTAACATATTGCAATATATTGCAATATGTTGCAATATATTGCAATATATATTGCAATATATTGCAATATATTGTAATATATTGTAATATATTGTAATATGTTTTAATATATTTTAATATATTGCAATATATTGCAATATATTGTTATATATTGTAATGTGTTTTAATATGTTTTAATATATTGTAATATATTGTAATATATTATATGTATTTACTTACTGTAAGCAATGAATACAGGGAAATTAGCACTACATGATCTCATGTTTTGGCAACTACAATGGTCACATCCACTTGTCATTTGCCTCATGTCAGTCCCGGACCCCTGCGCCATTCAGAGTTTATTCATCCGGGGTTGACACCATTGAACATGGGGATTTGCCGTTTCTAGCCTCTGGCAAAGTAACAGTTTGCTATGGAAGATACCCTCTGGTTATTTAACATAGCCATGGAAAATGGCCCATTTATAGATGGTTTACCTGGGTTTAATGCACGTACTAACAACTGCACGTGGAGCATTCGGTGGGATGGCTTGATCAACCATGTTGTGGTGGCCATTTTGGCTCAAGGCGGGCCACCGTAGGAACTTAAGGGTGATCTTGCCTTCCCTTTGTCTTCTTTGAAGAGGGAAAATTTTCCATGGTCACTCTTATTTCCGCAGCTGATCTAGCTGCAATTACTACGGTTGCAGATGCTCGAACTTGGGCTGGTATAAGTGAGGAAGCTTGGAACGCGTTTAGTGCAACTTTGGGAACTATACCGACGTTACAAGTCTTGGCGTACGTCCCATTGTTCGCTATTCGCGATGCCGTGCAAGACGCGCGGGTGCCTGTTCCGGCTCAGGGAGAACCGGGTACGGACGGGTATATCGCTGAAACCACCCGGTCCCTTACTATTGTCGAGGGCACCCAGGCGGGATTGATGGTTCAAGCAGCGCGTCAAAAATACGGGAGAGAAGCTTTTGACCCTCTGGACCCACCAGCCCCGGTGGCACCGGTTCAGGGTGGAGGGCAAGCGCAGCCAGGTACTAATGCACCGAAACCGGCTACGCTTAGGAAAATCAAGAATAACCAAGTCATCGATCAGGCAGACGAAGGAGAAATCCCCACACTGGATCATGCCACACTGGATGACCACTACAAGGTGTTGAGAACCGCCAAAGGTGGGCCAGTCCGACCAGAGACTGAACCGTCACCGGACCAGATTGCCGCCATGAAGGCGAGGGTCCTGGAGATGGACTTGAGTCCGTACGCGGACTTCGCTGTCTTTGTCAACTTCCAGGGTCGATTTTCGAAAGCACTGAAATTCTTGAATCACGTGCTGCAACCGGACGGGACGTTCAAGGCGGTCGAAGTTTCGGGACCTCCGAACTTTGATGCCTGGACCCTGTCTTGGAAGGTATATGTCAATACCTTACTCACCCTGGAAGTTGTAGTCAACGGCACAAAGATGTCAGTGGTTTCACTCTCGGCCATGGAAGAGTACCACGACATGTTCCGGGACCTGGTGAAGAACTACCCGGAAGCATGGCACCTGTTGGTGATTGCGGAGGACCGGTGCCGAGGAGAACACTTCCCAAGGGTACGACGTGAGCTGGAGGCCCAGCATGGCAGAGGATTGGCCCCAAATTTTGAACCGTCGAGACCTTGGGACGAAGTATTCCGCACGGCCTCCCGCGACCGGGACTATTGGGACAGGCACGTTCGTGAGCCGGCCTTACTGTTCCGAACTGCAGGTAGAACAGGCCGGCGGAACCGGCGCCGGCACCGATCTCACGAGCGACCGTCCGAAGGCCAAGCCCAAGGCCAAAAGGTCGCAGAAGGAGCGACTCAAGCGGCAACTGGCGAGACTGCGGGAGAGCACAGAGGACCCGCCGGCCTCAGTTAGCGACCCGCACCGGGGAAAGGGTGCCGGGAAAGGAAAGGACCGGGGTGCGAAGAGAGACGCCCAAGGACGATTTGTTACGGACCGTCAGGGCAAGCCCATTTGCTTCGGGTTCAACAACGGAGATTGTAAAGGGGTGTGCCCAAAGAACATGATGCACATCTGCCAAATATGCATGGGGCCCCATCCTGCAAAGGCCTGCAGGAAAGGTGCGGGGGCTTGACCCGCCCGAGCATCGCACCCGGGCCGTGCTGCCCGGGCACCGGTCTGGGAGGATGCCCCACCGCATCCCGGACCGGAAAGTTTTGCAGGCGGGGAGCGCATGGATGATGCTGACCCGGAGGCCCATCACCGTGTCTTCTGGGAGTTGCCCATGGGCGCACGGGGGCTAACTTGGGCCATCGGGAAATTGGGACTGTCAACGACTACCATCAAGGGCTAACCGGCTCTTCAGCCAGCACCGGCTCTTCAACACAAATGCCATGATATAGCATGTTAAGACCGACATAGATGCACATGCTATGCGTGCAGCATGGCCATGGCACCGGCCATTCTAAGCTGCTGGTGCCAGCTCAGGGGTGGCACCGGCATGATACAGCGGCTGGTGTCAGGTTGCTCTGTGTGTCCATGGAAACTGGGAGGCACTGATATATGTACAATATATGATAATGGTTGATATGTATTGGCTTTATAATACCTATTCCTTTGGAAATACATGTTTTCCGGGCATAGTTGCTTGCATGGTTCGGACTAGATATACCCAAAAAGGAAGTTTCATATTTCCAAGTTGGGCATGGGATAATTTCCACCTTTTTAGCCGACACAAAGGCATACATGCCACTGTCGGTGTCCATTTTGCAGAGGTATCTGCATCTTTTATATATATATATAGCTATCTATTTATAGGTATAGGCAGGTCAGGCGCATTTAGATTTCCATCTGTATATGCATATGTAAACATCTAAAATCCACATGGTACAGATGTACTTGGATGTGCATCCAGCTTGGTAAAAAAAATGTAATTTGTATTAAGCCCATTCAATCCCATTTATAAATGGTGATGTTCCATTCAAAATAACCGGGGGTACTAGCCATTTATTAAGTGGGATGCAATGGAAAGTAATGTTACCCCGGGCTTATTCATGCAATAATTACTAATCACCAACTTGGGGTACCGACAGAGTTTCCTAACCCAGGGTTGATGTGAAAACACGGTTTCCAATCCATTCCAACCAAGTATCCCAAACATAAATGTTCTGATATGTTCTAATATGTTCTGATTTTTGATTTGGGGATAACCATTTTGTTTCTATTCCCCATGCAGCGGCAAAGACCGGTTTTTCCAACTGTGGATCACGGTTGTCTGGTCGCTGGTCCTGGCTCGATCTTTAATGGGTATTTAGCGGGGATCACCATGGAGGATGATAACGTTGGTTTGGCTTGCAAAGCTATTTGCGTCGCTGAGAATCTGTACAAGTTTTGCGTGGCAATCGATGATGGGAAACGTCTTCGGGAAACTGGGTGTATTCCACCAGCTAGCACCCTCAAGAACCGGAAATGTAGGGATGCCTTTATGTGGGCGCGTCGTGTGAACCAATACAACCAAAGGTTCTTTACCATGGCTGCAGTACGCATGGGAATCATCAGGATGTTAGACACATATAGTTTGAATGTCCCAATAGTGAATGGGATGACCTTTGAAGTCTGGCTGATTCAACAGTCAAAGTTGGTCCTACACCTATGCCAGCGGGCTCGCAAGAACTCCGGCTCATCA